GAGGAGGGGCTGGAGATGCAGGCAGGTCAGCAAGAACTCACCCTCTCAGATGAGTTCTCCTAAACTCCGGGATTCTTACCATGTACATATCTATATTTGAGTACCTAAAATATATTAACTGCCTTTATTTGTTTATGTGTCTATCTTATGTGAGTTTCCAGAGGCCAGGAACTATGCCTTTTGCATTTTTGTATACTCACACATTGGTGGGTAAACTATAATTATACAGGTGTTTGCTCTTTAACATGGACTAGTGTTTCTCAAGTATCTGAAGACCATATGCCAGAGTCATTTTGGATGTTTATTAAAAATGAAAATTCTTAGCTCCCAAATCTGAACTATATAATCAGAACCCTCAGGATGGGGGCCAGAAATACTTACTTTAACGAATACTTCAAATAGCCCCTATGTACTAAAATTAGAGAAGCGCTGCCATGTAGATATTTGCAAAACATTGAGTATTTTCAACAAACAGTCACACGATTAAGTTCTGCTTGCCTAAGACTACTTTGAAAACAGTATGGAGCATGGACTAGAGGACTACAAGACAGAAAGCAGGCAGACTGGATTAACAGCTACACAATTAACAGGTGAAAAGATGCAGCTCTGATAGAGGAAAGTATGCTTGCAGGGCTGTAGAAACAGGGCGGATCTGGAAGGATGGAGTCAGCAGGGCAAACTGGCCAGATGTGAAAGAGGAAGTTCAGTTAAGAGGCTTCTGATTGGAATGGCCATTAACCTAGACCAGGGGTCAGCAAACTATGGCCACAGGGCCAAATCCAGCCTACTGGTGTGCTTTTGTAAATAAAATACTATTGGAATGCAGTCAGACTCACTTGCTTATATATTGATTAAACTTGCCTTCCACTATAACAGCATAGTTGAATAGTTGACAGAAACATACAAACGGCCTAAAATATTTACTATCTGGCCTTTCCAGAAAAATATTGCTGACCCCTGATTTAAATCAGCAATATTAAAGAAAAAGAGAGGCAGCAATTGAGTTGGAAGAGAAAACAGCTCTGGAGATGTAATGAATTCCATTTGGAAAATAATTACTTAAGATATGTGGAGCATTCACAATTAAAGAAGGGGGTGAATAGCAATACTAGAGGAGAAGTCAAAGAGTAGAAAAAAAAAAGAAGAGGTGGAGATTAAAATATTTGAGGTCCCAAATGCAAGAAGACTGGGCAGAGAAGAGAAATTAGCAAAGACTGCAAGGAGCAAAGAAAACTGGTATCATGAAAGTTAAGAGGGAAAGGACGCCAAGACAAAGTAGCAGGCTGATACACAATCACATATATATTTTACATATATATCCCATGTTATGTAACCTTAGTAGTAGAGAAGTATCAAAGGTTAGAGATGGTGGATTAAATGTGTATGTGGGCCAGGTGCGGTGGCTCGCACCTGTAATCCCAACACTTTGAGAGGCCAAGGTGGGCGGATCACAAGGTCAGGCAGGAGATCGAGATCATCCTAGCTAACACAGTGAACCTGGTCTGTACTAAAGATACAAAAAAAATTAGCATGCGTGGTGGCACACATCTATAATCCCAGCTACTCGCTTGAACCCAGCAGGCAGAGGTTGCAGTGAGCTAAGATCACCTCATTGCACTCCAGCCTGGGTGACAGAGACTCCAACTCAAAATGTGTGTGTGTGTGTGTGTGTGTGTGTGTGTGTTTCCTCATCCCTCTTCTAAAATTCCACAACAATGACAAAAAAATTAAATATATAAACCCACAAGACAGAGATGAAAGAGATGACACAAGCCAACTAGAAGTGTTAACAAAATTGTGTAAGATGAAAACCAGATCAATGGACAACTTATTACGATTTTTGCTTTCTCTACTAAATGTCTATCCGAGAAGTAAAGAGGGTGGCATGGTTCAGTCCAGGCCAGCCTCAGGAAGAGAGGCAGCAGCTTCCTTTGAAGACAAGGGACTGAAGTGAGGCCAAAAACGAAAAAATTGATTCTAAGTCTAATCATAACTGGCATCCATAACTGCCTTGTATAATTGGTATCTGTTGAAAGACGGGTGACTTATTTTCTGGAGAGGTTGTGCTAGATTTCCTCTGGACTGTGGACTTCATTGTAACAAGAACAGCTGAAGATGGAAATGTGGCCCCTGTCTGGCATTAAAAAGATTAAGCAAATACTTGCCTCATAAACCGTGAGATCTTTAGCCCACATCCCTTTTAGCAGTTATTAGCAGCCTTATATGTCCTAGGCAAGAGAATGGAGATTCTGTTCTGAAAAAAATAACCCACCCCAGGAAAGAAAACACCCATAAATATCAACATCGGAGTGAGAAGGGTTCTCACTGAAATGGGTTATGTTCTTGCTCCTTTCTGCCCACATACATAGAATTTCCCAGTGGCCCCTTTGTGCCACATTTTAAAATATGAATGAGTAGGCAAAAGCCAGTAGACCTTTTAGGAAACAGAGCTATAAGAAACAAGAAGCAAAGCCAGTGTGATATATGAACAAAAGGAACATTCAGAATCAAGAAAGTGTTCTTAGAAACTGAAAATACGCTAAACCACAGTAACAGAGTTTCAACAGTCAAAGTGGAGAAAAGTAGAATATAAAGTTACTCTGCCAAAGTCTGTTTCCACAAAACTAAGGAAGAAAATGAAGGATTCCAGGAAACAGATGAATCCAACACAGGAAATACTCAAAAGCTATTCCCAGGATGACAGAAGGGAAAAACCTAGCCTGTCTGTGAAGCAATCAGTCTTGTTAAAAGCAGAAGAGCAGAGGAAGGGTATCTCCAAGGAAACGTACAACATATAGGAGTTTGTAGTCCCACCAAAGCATCTGATGATAAATGAATAATAGCTACATAGAAAAGCAAGCAAACAACAAGAAATTAGACAATTGTTAATCTCTCCCAAAATTCTTGCTTATATAGAAAAATATGTATATAATCATAGCTAATAGCCTGGATATGAGCAAATTCACCTTGTCTAAATAAACACTGAAAATTGTTTTAAACGAAACTGTGATGTAAATAAATTGAAAGAAAACGTAGAAGGAAAGTGTGCTTGATGATTATGGCTTAAGAAAGCCACATCTTAATTTTCTATAGTAAAAATCTGACATTCACTTTGGGAAACAATTGAGGAAAATCTAGGAAAGTTGAAGATGCTAATCCCATGGTTAAAAACATTCCACTTGTAGAGAAACCACTGTACGACCCATATATAGATACCAAAATATTCACAGAAGCATTCCAAAAATGAAAACAATTCAAGCTCCATCAGCGATAGTTTAAATAACTAAATTTTGTAGCATATCCATACAGTGGAATGCTCTTCAACAGCTTTCTTGACCTTAGCGCTACTGACATTTTGGCCCAGAAAACTGTTTGTTATGGAAGTTATTCTGTATTTGCTAGGATACTAGTAACACCCCTAGCTGCTACCACTAGCTACCAGCATTGTTCCCCCACTCCAGGTGCGACAACCACAATGTTTACATACATTGTCAAATGTCTCCTAGGAATGAGTTGCTCCCATTGAGAACTACAGCACTACTATATGAGCCCATTAATACAAAATTCAAAATCTGGCAAAACCAAGCTGTATTTCATGGAGATGTATACATAGTTGATTTAAAAAATAAGCAAATGAAAGCAAAGAAATTTATTATACAAATAAGGACAGATACTATTCTTGGGAGATAGAGGACAGTTGTGATTTGGAAGAGATGTACGGGGATCTTTTGGCCTTGGAGCAGTGATTATGATGGTGATCATGTTATTAATTTATAAGTTTATTCTTCATGCAAATATACATGTTAATGTGTAATCAGTTACAATATGTTTAATGTTATATGTGTAATGTATAATATATGTATATGTTTAACATATGTGTAATGGGCAATATTATGTGTGTAATATGTAATACAGTTATATGTATATGTGCAATATATATATGTATAATATGTGTAATGTGTAATACAGTTACATATGTAAAGTTAATGTGCAATACAGTTACACGTTTTCTAAACAATACAATTTTATAATTGTTTTAGGTATTTATATCTTACATCCCTATTTGTGTTATGTTTCAAAATTTTGCAAGTAAAAAATAGGAAGCATATAAGTAAGATCTAATTGGAAAACAACAAGTAGTAGTATAAACATGTTATTTATAAATGTGATGAGAAATGCCTACAAAAGCTGGCAGTGGAGCGGGGGAGAAGAAAAAGAAAATTACTGTTTCAGGAGTGTAGAATTCACAAGAGCTAAAGGGGAGGGACAGGGAGCTGTTATTTTTCCATATGAGCATTGTTGCAACAAATGAAGTACATACATTAGTTTAATAAATAAAATGATTTGATTTTTTAAATGGAATAGTGGTCAAGTAGGGTATGTGGATACATTTCATGGATCATCAGCTCTGCGGCTATGTAAGCTAGATAGTTTATGCATTTTATCAATCACAATGGTGTTGATTATATTGCGTGTTTGCATTCTTTTGGGTTGGCAAAAGTATCCATAGGTTATTTTACTAAATGACCAGCATAGAAGCATGTTGTAGTGTTTACTAAATATCTATTGTGCAAACAATCTCAAAGGGGATTTTAAAACTATACTACTTTCAATATAATAAGCAAATTAAAATGCTTCACTAAATTCATTATTGAAAGTTTAAACTTTTGGCAAAATCAAAAGAAACATGGGAGAAAAAGAAAACACTGATGGGTAATTGAAAGTGAGTTGTATTTCATCGTATAGCAGGTGGTACTAGAAAAATTGTTTTTTCAAGAAGGTTGAAACACAAATGTAATCAATAATAATTAAGCATCATTATCCTAGTATACTTTCAGGCCAGGAAATTTTTAATTATTCCAATCGCTTAACCTGACATTTTAGTCAGACTAAGGAAACCCATGTTTGGAAACTCATTGTATAAGTATATATTAAAAGATGACGGAGAAAGCCAAGTTATAAATCTGAGATTAAGTAACATTGTTCATTTTTTCCTTTCAGCAGACTAAAAATAATTAATCACACAACATGAAGTTTGACAAGAACTCTGATAGGAAATGTGAAGAGTTGCCTGGTATCTGTGGCACTTAAGAAAGGTTTCTTAGGGTAAGTAACATTTCAAATGAAGTCTAGAGTGAGTAAGTTGGCCAGTGGGGAGGACAAGTACAGAGAAATATTTCTGTGGAGAGAGGACAGCATGCACATAAACCAGAGATGCAAAAGGACATGACCTCTGAATATAGTGTGTGTGTGTGTGTGTGTGTGTGTGTGTGTGTGTGCTCATCACAAGCAAGGTCAGAACGGATCTTATATACTGAGGTAAGACATGCAGATTTGACCTGGGTAGTGATGGGGAGACACTATGGGCTTTTGATCTATGGATGTGCATTTAGAAAGATCACCATATATGTACTAGAGACAGTGGAGCAGAACAAACTCCAAGGAGTTCTAGAAATCCATTAAAAGGCCATAGGCAGGGTATAGGGGCGGGGTGGGGGGGACAAGATGGCTGAATAGACAACTCCAGTGCTCAACACCCAGCTAGAGAAACACAGATAGTGAGAGATCTCCTAGCTCCAACTGAGGTACCAGGTTCATTTCAACAGGGCTGGTTGGACAGTGAGCAAAGCCCAGGCAGGGCAAACCAAGGCAGGGAGAGGTGCTGCTTCACCCAGAAAGTGCATCTGACTGGTGAGTCAGGGGCTCCCCTCAAGCACCCGGTCCAGATACGGGGTTTCCCCCTAAGCCTTAGCAATCCACAAAACAGGGGATCTTTGCTGGTCAAATGCCTGGAATTACAAGTGCAGAATTGAATAATAATCCAGGCCGGTGCTACAGATTGTTGCACAGATCTAAGCAAACGCATAAGTCCATAGGCCGGCCAGGAGAGCCTGCAAACCTAGCTATTGCCCCTACCCCACTGCCCAGAGAGAGAGGGAGCTGAAAGCGGGAAGACAGAAGGGGAAGCTGGCTGGGTTCCTCCCCCATGACTGGAGATTGAGGGAGTTGAAAGCAGGGAGACAGACGTCCCTCCCCCGCCAACAAACCCCAGTGGGCTGAAGCACTAATTCTAGAGGGTTTTGCAGCCAGTGTCCCAGTCTGAGCTGAACTCTGAAGATCCAGCTCCATGGAGGAAAGGGGCGGGCCTAGTCTTCATGTTTTAACAAAAAACACAGGAAGCCTACCTAGCAACGGGACAGTGTCCTTGTCAACCCAGCAGTGCCTCCAGGTCAGCGGAAGGAGGGGCACCCACCATTAAAGAGGCAGACCTAACGTCCCAGTGTAAACAAAAAGACACAGGAAGCCTATGTAGCAACCTCATCAAGCAGCTCCCTGAGATCAGAGCTAGATAAATCCATGAAGATGGGAAAAAACAGTGCAAAAAGAATGAAACGATTAAAGACCAGATGGCTGTTCTCCTTCAGGACATCACAACTTCTTACCAACACAGGAATAAAACATGTGAGAGAAAGAGTTCAACTAATTGACAGAAACAGGCTTGAGAAGGTAGGTAATAACAAACTTCTCTGAGCTAACGGAACACATTCTAACCCAATGCAAAGAAACTAAAAACCTTGAGAAAAAGTTGGACGTAATGCTAACTAGAATAATGAGCTTATAGAAGAACATAAATGACTTGATGGAGCTGAAAAACACAGCAGGAGAACTACACAAAGCAAACACAAGTTTTAATAGACAAATCAATCAAGCCAAAGAAAGGATATCAGAGATTGAAGTTCAACTCAATGAAATAAAAGGAGAAGGCAAGACAAGAGAAAAAAGAGTGAAAAGAAATGAACAAAGCCTCCAAGAAATATGGGATTATGTGAAAAGACCTAATCTACTCTTCATCAGAGTACCTGAATATGATGGGAAGAATGAATCCAAGCTGGAAAACACACACCAGGATATTACCCAGGAGAACTCCCCCAGCCTAGCAAGGCAGTCTAACATTCAAATCCAAGAAATACAGAGAACTCCACAAATATATTCCTCAAGAAGAGCAAACCCAAGGCACATAATCGTCAGATTCATAAGGATTGAAATGAAGGAAAATATGCTAAGGGCAGCCAGAGAGAAAGATCAGGTCACCCACAAAGGGAAGCCCATCAGACTCACAGCAAATCTCTCGGCAGAAACACTACAAGCCAAAAGAGAATATTCAACAACCATGAAGAAAATAACTTTCAACCTAGAATCTCATATCCAGTGAAACTAAGCTTCATAAGTGAAGGAGAAATAAAATCCTTTACAGACAAGCAATTACTGAGAGATTTCATCACCACCAGACCTGCCTTACAAGAGCTCCTGAAAGAATCACTAAACATGGAAAGGAACAAGTACCAGCCACTGCAAAAGCAAACCAGTGGGCAAAGACCAAAAATGCAATGAAGAAAATGAGTCAATTAGTGGGCAAGAAAACCAGCCAGTAACAAATAGCAGGATCAAATTCACACATAACAATATTAACATTGAATGTAAATGGCCTAAGTGCCCCAATCAAAACACACAGACACATGCGCCCGGCCAGATTCCTTCACATTCTTATTTTACCCATGATATTATTAGATGCTCTAGGTTCTTCAAAGTATGTCCCAGGGTAACTGACTGTCAACAGACAGAGCCCGTTTCATCACAAAAAATAAAGGAGAATCATCAGAGTTCTGAAAATCTCACCTTGATGTCTGTTGAGTCTTTCCTAACTAATCTCACGACAATATTCTATGACAATTATCTCTATATATTAAAAAAATGTATATGTTTTTGACAGACTCCACAGTATCTGGTTCAGTGATAGATATATACTAGATGTCACAAATGTTGGTGAATATATAAAAGAAGTCCACTCATAATAAGGATATGATAAGAATGGCTCCTCCTGAAGGATTTTATTGTAAAAACTATAGGCATTTTATCTTAAGTTGGGTTAAAAAACTCTCAATTCTTTATGGCATAACTTCTGACTTACAAAAAATTCTGGATTATTAGTAGCATTTAGGTTCTTTACAAATTTTATGTAAAATACAATTCATTTGTTTTGAGTTTCTCTAATGCCAACTGTTTACTAATAGTGGCAAAATCCATGCAATGAAAAAAAATAAAGCCTTGTTAGTTTGAACAAAACTATTTACTGATAGATTCTCTGTTGCTGAATGGGGATTTCGGAGGTAACAGGGTCAGTGATTTCCTTAATACAGATTCTGAAGAATTTGTAATTGTATTAACCACGAAAGAGGAAATTCACCAACAAGAGAAAAAAAAACCTTAGGAGCTAGGCTTCCATCCCATTTCAAGCAGAGCAAATCTTATTTCTGATCATTTTATTGGGGTTCTAGGTAAAAGAGTTCTCCTACTAAACAAAGTATGAAATTATCTGATTATTTTACCATTCCCATTTTATTCTGTGGATAAGACAACTAAGTCCCAGACCTGGTCAAGGTCCTGCAATTAGTGACTGAATAAGCACAATTATTCACAAGCATTCTAACTTCCAACCCCAAAGTCATTTCATTACAACAACCTGCTTTCCCACTAAAAAAATTCATTTGAAACACAGTATGGACTAGGTGTACCATCAACCTTTCCAAAGTATTTTGGCTACGTACTGACAATCAATGACAGCAGGGCAAACATGACTAATGCTCAGTTAGTTATCACCATGGAATCATTTACCAAAGATGAAGCTTGAAAAAAGGACCCACTTTCCCTCTATCATGTGACCTTTTGATGACCCTTTGGCCTGACCCAAGGAATCAATAGGAAAATACCCCTCAGATGTCCTGGGACACTAAATGGAAAGAGGAGAGGCACATTCTCACTTCCCAGATCCCTGAATCCCAATAAAAGGGACCAAATGGCTTCTTGTGAAGTTGGAAACAAGATAGGCAGTAGTATTTTTATTACAGGAAATAGAATACATTGCAAACACAATATCAAGTTAATACTTGTGAGTAAATGCTCATGCCTACCCACCAGAATGGCTATAAATTAGACATTTTATTGTAAAAACTATAGGCATTTTATCTTAAGTTGGGTTAAAAAACTCTCAATTCTTTATGGCATAACTTCTGACTTACAAAAAATTCTGGATTATTAGTAGCATTTAGGTTCTTTACAAATTTTATGTAAAATACAATTCATTTGTTTTGAGTTTCTCTAATGCCAACTGTTTACTAATAGTGGCAAAATCCATGCAATGAAAAAAAATAAAGCCTTGCTAGTTTGAACAAAACTATTTACTGATAGATTCTCTGTTGCTGATGGGGATTTCGGAGGTAACAGGGTCAGTGTTATAGACAATAACAAATGTGGATGAAGATGTGAAGAAGTTAGAAACTTCATATGTTGCTGGTGGGTATGTAAAATGGTGTAGCCACTTTGGAAAATAGTTTGATAGTGTCCTTAAAATTAGCACATAAAGGTCTATCATGACCAAGTAATTCTACTCCTAGCTGTCTACTCAAGAGAAATGAATACATATGCTCACATAGAGAATTATACACAAGCTTTGTTTATGGCAGCCTTGCTCATCATACCCCAAAACTAGAAATACCCCATATTTCTACCAGTTGGTGAATGGATAAACAAAATGTGATATATCCATGCAACATTTTATTCATCAACAAAAGAGAATAAGTTACTGATAAATGGAATGCCATACATAAAGCTTGAAAACATTATGCTACTTCAAAGCCAGATACGAAATCCACAAAAGGCAAATCAATTCAGACAAAGGATAAGTCAGTGGTTGGTTGTCTAAGGTTGATGTCAAACGGACACAGAATTATTTCTGGGCTAATGAGAATGTTCTAAAAATGCATCATGACAACGATTGCAAAATTTTATAAATTTACTAAAAAACACTAAACTGTATATTTAAGTCAAATAAATTTTATGGCATGTAAAAGAGACCACAATAAAGTTGCTTTTAAACAAAGAAGGAAGCATTCAGAGAATGCGTAAAGTGCAGACAGGTACAGCATGCTGAAACTCCAGAACAGCACCAGTGATCCAAGTCAGGCTTAAATCAACTTTAAGGTAACTTAGGCTAGAAAAAGCAAATGTTTTACTATCAAATTCTTCATGCGGAATTTTTAAACCAGAGTCCAAGATAAGGTCAGTACCTTACTTTCTCTTTATTATGCGCCTTGAGTAACAGTTGTGTGTAAACAGGAATTTTGTCCTGCCAGAAATCAGACCTGTTCTGAAGCTTCTTGAATAGTAGTGAGTCTTCTCATATGTCTGTACTCCATAAACCCTAAGTCCAAGCACAACGCTGGGCACAGTGTAAAATTGTTTTTTTGTTTGTTTATTCTGTGTTGACCTAGTTTTCCGGCCCTAAGTAAAGGCCAGTTAAGTCCATACCCCAGCCATGTCCCTTGTCCAGCTTTCACACAAAAGCCCTAATCACCCAAGGGCCAAGTACCAGGCAATTAGGAATGGTCCCTATGCATTAGTCTCTTCTCAGGCTGCTAATGAAGGCATACTTGCGACTGGGTAAAATTTAATAAGGAAAGAGATTTAATTGACTCACAGTTCTATGTGACTGGGGAGGCCTCACAATCATGGCTGAAGGTGAATGCGGAACAAAGTCACAGCATTCGTGGCAGGCAAAGGAGCTTGTTCGGGAGAACTCCCCTTTACAAAGCCAGCAGATCTCGTGAGACTTATTCACAACCACGAGAACAGTATGGGGGAAACTGCCGCATGATTCAAGTATCTCCACCTGGCCCCACTCTTAACACGTGGAGATTATTACAATTCAAGGTGAGATTTGAGTGGGGGCACAGCTGAACCGTATCAATCAGCCTATATGCCTCAGAGCCTAAAATTATTCAAATTAGCCAATCCGCAGGGAGCCCAGAAACTTAGATAATCCAACCCCTTTGCCATATATAAGCTCCCTGGACAGCTCCAACTTACCTGTCCCCTAAAGCAATACACATATAGCCCTGTCTAGCAGCCTTCTCTCCTTCAAAGTTGTATATGGCAAACAGTTCTACTTGTTATCTATCTACATATAACTGTGTTAAGTTCCGATATCAAAAGTTTCTCTAAATCATATAAAGCAACAGAGCAGATACCTGATGACTAAGGAAGGAGATATCTACATAGATCCTTTTATCAGCAGGACGTTGGAATACACATTTCCCAAAGTTTCTCACGGGCTAAGCACTTTCGTTAAGTCAGTCTAACTGGTCTGGAAGTATCTGCCCTTAATTTTCTCTCCAATATCTAACAAGTCTCTCTAAAATATTTTTAATCATTTTCAAACACAAGGGCAAGTAACCACGGAACTGATTTTAACATAGATCCTAACATGCTTTTATTCTTTTTTTCTTTTTCTTTAAACACAGTAACTATTTTCCCAGGAATTTTGTTACATCCTTTTGACAAAAATGAGAAATTAGTAATATTGAGGCAGTCCAGCTTACCTCTTTTCTAATACAACTAGACACACTGCATTTTCATGCTTATAAAATCTGAAACTCAAGTTTTTAAAACCTGAGTTATAGACTTACAGACTAACAAAAATCATTCATTTCCTTCATGACTGACTGATGTACCTGCTCTTTAGAGGGACTTTGGAAAATTTAAAGTATTTGTATCCTGGCTGCTTTCTTCCAACGAGTTGAATGTTATGGTTACAAGGTATTGGTTGAGTAAGTAGCCTTTAGTGGCTCCAGATTTTCTTTGGTAAACTCTTATGTGCAAAAAATCAGCAGTGTGACGTATTTCAACGAAGAGGAATGTGCTGTTTATTCTCTTTTTAAGTTTGCCTGGCAGATAACATCACTCTCTTCTCTCACAAGGCTGGCTTTTCAGATTGTTCACTTTTGCAGGAGATTCAACAAAGCATGTAGGCAGTAAGATGTCTATCAGAAGTCTGTCTGATGCTCCATTCCTTCCAATGTCTACTCGGTGATTTGCAATTGTTCTCAACTACTTTCAGGCTAGCTTTCCAAACATTCACAGTGATTCTAGGAGCTAGGGGTTGAGACTGAACGTAAGGTATCTAATAAAAAGAATACCCAGTAGAAGTGAAAGATGTTAAAACCCATTCAAATAAGAATTAGACTTACAGAGATTTATTCTCTCCACCAGACAAAATTCATTTTCGTTGTCATAAAGAGGAATCATCTGCATAGCTACGGACCTCTAAAGACGCATTTAATTAAGTCATCAAATAAACTATCTGAAAGAAAATTGCTGACTTGAGACTTAACTTGAGAGATAACTTGAGACTTAAAGCCCTGTAAGTTCTAAAATATCCCCTTTACTAGTCTGCAAAGTGCTAGAGATTTTTATGCTGAGGTTATACTTTTTAACATAATTATTATTACGTTATATCTCCAGAACATCCTTGCTAAATAGAATCACTATCAGAAAGAATAGAATATATTATTAACATAGATGAGTTTATAGAATTTTTTTTTTGTGACAGAGAACAAATTCTGAAAGAACATGGCCTGGCCAGGCTAATTATCAAAAAAAAACTTTTTTGACAAGAGCAAATATTAAAAGGCCTTATTCCTGTATATACTGTTTTTTTTTTTTTGAGACAGAGTTTCGCTCTTGTTACCCAGGCTGGAGTGCAATGGCGTGATCTCGGCTCACCGCAACTTCCGCCTCCTGGGTTCAAGCAATTCTCCTGCCTCAGCCTCCTGAGTAGCTGGGACTACAGGCGCACGCCACCATGCCCAGCTAATTTTTGGATTTTTAGTAGAGACCAGGATGGTCTCGATCTCTTGACCTTGTGATCCACCTGCCTTGGCCTCCCAAAGTGCTGGGATTATAGGCGTGAGCCACCGCGCCCGGCTGTATATACTATTTATTTGCAAAAACACCAGAGTTTTACTATGACCATGCCAGCTATAGTCAAAACTTGGTATAAAACAGCCATGCCTGGCATAGACCCTGAAGTAGTTATGGATATTCTACTTATACCAACTTTATTTCCACATGAGATTTGAAGTAGTACAAACACACACACACACACACACACACACACACACACATACAAGCTAAAGAAGTTCATAGTTTAGAAATAAAAATATATCAAAAACCTTAAGAAAGTACAAAAAAAATCCAGATCTATATCTTTTCTATGCATAGTGTAATTAAAACCTGAGTTATAGACTTACAGACTGACAAAAATCATCCATTTCCTACATGACTGCTTATAACTGGTTATAAGCTCCCTAACATGCTGGTATGTCATTTTTTGGTACTAAATAGTAAAAAAAAAATCTTAAGATTTCATCAAGAAAGAATGTCTTCATGGATTCTATGTTGTGGGAAATTTTTCAAATGTAATATACTCAGAAGATATTAACTAATATAAAGGGCAAATCCTAAATAAGCTAAAAGCAACTTCAGAATGATGGCTCATATGATGGGGTTATATATGGATCCCTGAAATTATGCTTTTCCAATATTTGTAAAAGAACAGTTCCCAAGAACAACTACCACCATTCTGAATGAAGAAATAGAATAACCGTGTACATGTACCTGCTCCATCCCCTAAAAAAAGATAAGTATGTACACACTCATGAAAATTTTGTAAATTACACTTTTAAAATGAAAAACGTTTTGAAGTATATTTTGAGTAACTGCAAATTTTATCTGAGTCTCTTTTGCAACATCCTGACTTTAAATTCATCCTCCACTCAGCAATGTATGTTTTTCAACTTGGCATATGCCGTGATGAACATCAATGTCGTTGGTTTAAGAATTTACATCCTATTACTTAGCATGACTAAGTTGTCAGAACAGCCTTCATTTAAAGAAATAATACTGTAATCTGTTTGACTAGTCTGCATTGAATATAAAATCTTAAAAGAAGAATGATATCAGAGGAAAGAGTTGGCAGGCTATTCATGGCAATGACTCACTATGCAAGGCCGCTGAAAATGAGGTAAACAGACATTTCCTTGCAATATCCATTTCACAATAAAATCATCTTTGCTCTTTTCCTCTCAAATTTGTATGTGTTCTGTGTTCTAGGATACAATTCTTAGATTTATGTATTTCATATTAGAAGACCCACACTTTTGGCTTTAGGCTATAGAGGTTCATGTTTTGTCTAGTCACCTTAAGCAGAATTAAGCCAAAGTCATTTACCTACTCTCATCATAGACATTCATTGCAATTCTTGGTTATAACAACAGGATATTATTCAAATCCTTTTGAACTGAAACCAAAAAACTCAATGAAAATCAGAATTTGTCTTCATGGTATTTTATGGACTTTAATTTCCTTTCAATTCAGGTTTTTAAAAAAATCATAAAACTTTAATCCAGTCCCTGTAACTGTGTTCATTTTTATAAAACACGGTTTTAGCCTCTTCATACTAGACTATTGCAAATATAAGTACAAAAATGCAACTTAAATATTTACATATGTTCATATAATAGATATTCATGTAATTCATGCCCTTAAGCAACTAAAATGTAAACTAATTAAAATCACAGGGTTCAAAGGAGGGCCACAAGTTCTATGGACAGACGTCTGCTACTTCCCTGCTTCAAAAGACTATATCATCATACTTGAGTACAAGTGCCAGAGGAATGCAACCCTCTGAGGAACATCCTGGCTCCAACTGTAAGCTCCACTTCTACTCAAGCACAGCAGTAATCGATCCTCCTGTGGCTTACAACTAAAAGATTAAATCTGGCATCCACTCAATATGACTGTCCTTTAAATTAACACAAAATACCTGCTCTACCAAAATCAGAAAAAGACTTAAATTCCATCTAGCATTTGGTAAAGTTTCCAAATACTTGAGAGTCAAGAAAGAATCTAGGAGACAGCTAATTCTGGCAGGTTCTTCCTCGGGAGCCCTCTTGCCTTGAACAACACCACTGTGGTTGCCTATTTACTACTGGTTCTCTTTAATTTAGTTCAAGCTTCCACCCTAAATTACCAGGCACCCAGTCCCACTGGAATGCATGACAAGCACTGTCAGTCTCTGTCCTCAGTGATGATGAAGGGAAAACATCCCTTCCCACAAATCCAATCTAATTTTAACTTGTCCCCAGTCCCCTTTTGAACATGCGCGCGCGCGCACACACACACACACACACACACACACACACTTCTTCCTTCAAGTGACTCATACTGAGGAAATGGGTCTGGAAAACCCTGGAAGGACCATTTCTCAGCATTAACCCCATCAGCAGGATTAACCCCATTGAGCTTCCACTGGTTCTGGTCAGCAAGTTGGCCTCTGCTGCCCTTAATGTTAGCACCAGGGGTTGGTGGTTTCTCCCAGCTGTTCTGAGGAAGACAAGAGTGTCAGCAGTTTTCTCGCTGCAGCAGTTCTTGTTAACACACAGGGTTTTCCCTATGCGTCCTGGTTCTTCAGCTGTCTCCTTAAATACTACATCAATGTCATTATTACTGAGAACTCACAGTGCAGTATCTGTCCCAGTGGGAATTACAGTGGTGCATGTCTCTTTTGGTGAAAGGATCTATTTAAGATGCAATTTATACTAGGGTTGCTATATCAGGACACTTTCCAAAATTTCCAGAAAAACTCCACTGATGGCAGACGAAAGAGGATGTGTGACCTCCAAGGTTCTGAGGTTTAACATGAAGTTGCATAGATTTAGGAAAATTTGCATGCACAAATTGTTTGATGTCTCCTATTTCAGCTTAAAAGTCTGTGATTTTTGAAATTTATTTTCTAATATATTTACGTTTATCTTGGTAAAAAATGTTTTTCTCCTCAACCAACCCTTTAATCTGTTAGTCCAAAAATAGGTGTCTTTTGTCTTGCCTACCCATGGTTGTTTTTCACTCCAGGGATGATGATGATGATGATGATGATGATGATGGCAATGATATGATGACAGTAATGATAAAAACAATTATCATGACCACAAAAATATTTAGTAACCAGTTTTTATTGAGTAATTACTGCATGCCAGGAATTATGCGAAGCCCTTAGGAAGCATTATCTAATTTAATTTTTACAACAACCTTATTAGCTATTACAAGTGTTATTCTCAGTTTGTAGATGAGCTAAATGAGGCACAAAAGAGTTAAGTAACTTGCCACTGACAGACCATTAACTAAAAAGCAGAGGATTCACAATACCAACCCCCACAGAAGAGGAAACCATTGATTTATTTTTCTAATTCTTCATTAAGAGGATCTAACAGTTTCTTAACATGAATTCCAATGGGACAAGGTACCCAGAAATTTAGAAGGGCTCTTGAACCAATTAACAGAGACACAACCATAACTAGGTAACCAGAGTGATACCAAGAGGGCTATGTAAAGACAGAATTTGAGGAACTAAATAATGCCAAATAAATTTGTTGAATAATTATTTCTCAACCCTCAGATATTTGGTATCTTTATTGTATGTGGATGGAAGTTATCTGGTTCCTATAGAGCAGATATTCTATATTGGTTACAGTGAAAGCCACATGCCTTGAGGCATATGTGCCCCAGTAAGTATCACACTTGTGGAAGTCCACTGAGCTCCTTTTTCTTTATGTACTAAGGCGGGATTCAGGTCTTCATTTCTTTTTTTATTTTTTTTTAATTTTTTTTTTTTGAGACGGAGTTTCGCTCTTCTTACCCAGGCTGGAGTGAAATGGCGCGATGTCGGCTCACAGCAACCTCCGCCTCCTAGGTTCAGGCAATTCTGCTGTCTCAGCCTCCTGAGTAGCTGGGATTACAGGCACATGCCACCATGCCCAGCTAATTTTTTGTATTTTTAGTAGACACAGGGTTTCACCATGTTGACCAGGATGGTCTCGATCTCTTGACCTCGTGATCCACCCGCCTCGGCCTCCCAAAGTGCTGGGATTACAGGCTTGAGCCACAACGCCCGGCCAGGTCTTTATTTCTTTTATGTCTCAGAGGTAGCCTTTTCCCTTAGAGTTGCTTGCTCCACCTTCAACAGTATTCCCCAGGCAGTGGATGTATTTCAAGTAACAGAAACCTGGCCAAAGTTCAGATAGATCTTTATAAGTATCTGTTCATGGAACACTGGAGTACCTGTATAAATCAGGTCTCAGGAGTATACTTGGCCACTCTTGTTACATGAGCTAGACATGGAAACTAATTCTAATGGGGTAACTGAGTAATATCTAAAATAGGTTAATACGAAAAGATCTTCTCTCAGGTCTCCTCGTTTCTTTAGCTGACCAAAAATGTCTTCTCTGGCCTATTTTAAAGATATAGCCTCTGCCTTCATAATAGTTCTCTACAAGAAGTATTTATTTGAGTAGTGTACCGGAGTCTTTTTTTAAGGCTTTGGTTAAAGCCATGAGTCAATATTGAAGCCCTTACATGAGTGTCAACTTAGAAAATTTCATTGAAACTTTTGTTGCAGAAATACATCATCTGTAAAGAAGAGTTTGGTATGCTTCTTTATTCAGCAATTGGAAGCTATGTAATTTTTTCTTTTCTTTTTCTTTTGCATTAGTGGCCAGGAATTTTTTGAACTCAATTTAATGTCCAAATGAGGTAATACATTTATTTCAGGTGCTTGCTAGCATCTGTTTCAATACTGAAGTTTGCTTCAACCCTGGCTGCAAGTTAGAATCTTCAATTTCAAAAATACCTGATGCTTGAGATAGAGTCCAGCCCAGATTTAAGGGTGGGGCCAGGGAAATGGAATATTTCCAATGATCTTCAACGTGATGCAAATGTAGAGGGAGAATTAAGAACCATTTCTATGGATGTTGTAAATTTGTTTTAATTTCAGTTGTCTTATTTGTACACTAATTTACTTACGTGAACTCAAAGTCTTTTGGAAGAAAAGAACCATAATATATAAAGGCATAGACCATCAATCTTATACTGTAGAACAGACCTACATCTCACCAGTACGTCTCAACTTTGGCTGCCAGTCTATCCACATCACCTGGGGAGCTGATAAAATCCTGATGCCTACACCATATTCCAAACCAATTAAATAATAATCTCTGAGGGTGAGACTGAGGCATTGATCACTTTTAAATCTCCTCAGAGGATTTCACCATGTAGCCAAGGCTGAAAACCAATGATCCATATTCTTTCCCCACTTCTTATCAATGTCTTGAAATAAGCATGTTCATGGGGAAAATGTTAAACAAATCAAATTTATATTTTGATTTAACCTAATCTGTTGTGGCCCTTTTCTTCCTCAGCTGCTTAGCATGTACATCTTATTTCGAGCTTGCCCAAGACGCACTTACCCACTTTACTTCCCTTCTCGCAGAATATGCTGCAAACCCACAGAAACTGCTCCTTATTCCTCTCTCTCAAAGTCTGCCTGGCTAAGTCCGAGGACACTCACATACAGTAAAAGCCTCCTTGTTCTCATAAATTTTCTGAATGGTAATACAATTTTCGTTCATTTTTTCCATATTTATTACCCCTCCTGATACCGTCTGGGGTAGGTTCTTAAACATCTAATCTAGCTGATTTCCATTTGCCTTGGTAATAGGATGGCCTTTATGGATTGATCATACCTTTGACAAATTCAAACCATATGATGGCTGAATCAATTTCTTGGCATAATTGCCTCCCTTCTTGACCCATATTTCATGACCCTGGACTTTGGTTGATCTTAGTTTCCAGGATCAAGATTATATCTACATTTACTGCATCTATGTACTTTAGATTTTATTCCATCTGCTTGCTTCAGGAACAAATAGTTCCATCCTGAGGGGGACTGACACATGAGGTTATCAACACTCAACTGAGGTTTCATGATCATTGGACTGTGTCTTCAGAGAATATAATACGGAATTTTGCTTAGGAATTATTTCACTGCTTTCTCAACACTGAGAACCGCCCTAGTCCCCAGAAAGCCTCTGATACACATCAGAAGCATTATATATCATCCCTAGGGTTATTTTATGCAATTATAATTCTTAGCATCTGAAAGGTAGAAACAAGAAAACATAAAAGAAAGTAATGAATATTAAAATATTAAACAAGCAGCATAACATGCAGTATTTATATTTTTTATTATTAAATTTGGTCACCTCTAAAAATGTCAATTTTTCCCACTTAGAAAGAAAGTGGAGTGAAGATCTAGGTTCTTGTGCTGCCCACAAAATAAAATGAGAGGAAAGGAATGAGGGCTTTCAAGTCAAATTTATATCATGAAAAAGTCAACAAATGACCCCCAAAATATTAAACGTTACTGAAAATTACATTGCAAAAACTTGCTATACAGACCCTAAATTATCTGCCATTACATAGCACATTGCTTACTTTAAAATGACTTTACAATTCAACCGCCTGCACTAACAAGACTGATAAACTCTTGCCCGGGGAAGACAAAGTGCAAATAACTTCATTGTTTTTTAAAGAAACTTTCCAAAAATTCATTTGCTCCAATAATAGACTACTCAACCATCCCTTGTCAGAGTAAATACCCATCTCAGAACATTGGATTTTTCCACTGGGCTCATCAATCTTCTCTTCTGGACCATTTTGCAACCCCTGCCTCACTATGTCCCCCAATTTGAAACTATTTTGTTACAAATTTTCCTCAGTCTTAATCAGCATTCTATCCTAAACCAGAACCCCCAAATCTCGGAAACATGTTATTCTGAGAAGCCACAAAGACTCCCAAAGACAGATCATCCCTT